CCCAATGGTATCAATGTGGATTTCACAAGCTTCAAAATCTCCCCTCCTCCTACTGCATCCCAAAACCAGCCCAGCTCGTCCCCGCCTCCCTAACCTGTTCTTCCTCCCATCTATCCCCTCCTCCCACCTCAAGCCACACCCCCATTTCCTACCTACTAATCTCATCCCGCCCCCTTGACCTGTCCGTTCTCCCTGGACTGACCTATCTCCTCCCTGTCTCCCCACCTACACTGACCTTTACTGGCTCCATCCCCGCCTCTTTGACCTGTCTGTTTCCTCTCCATCTATCTTCTCCTCTATCCATCTTCTCTCCACCTCCCCCTCTCTCCCTATTTATTTCAGAACCCCCTTCCCCTCCCCCATTTCTGATGAAGGGTCTAGGCCCGAAACGTCAGCCTTCCTGCTCCTATGATGCTGCTTGGCCTGCTGTGTTCATCCAGCTTTACAACTTGTTATCTCAGCTTTTCCAGCAACTTTGTTTTTGTTCCCAATTTACAGCATTTGCAGATCTTTCAGTTTTTATGGAAGATCTGGGTCTTTTTTGCGAGCAGCATGTAAATGTTCTGCAAAGTCATCTCCCAGTCTACGCTTCATTTCCCCAATATAGAGACCACATTGAGAGCCACAAATGCAGTAGACAAGATTCTGGGAAATGCAGGTGAACTGTTGCTTCACCTGGAAGGTGTGTTTGGGCTTCTGGATAGTGGGGAGGGATGAGGTAAATGGGTAGGTGTTACACCTTCGCCAGTTGCAAAGGAAGGTGCCATTGGGTTCTAGGGGGACATTGGGAGTGAAGGAAGAGTCAACCAGGGTGTCCCGGAGGGAATTAAGGGTTATGGTGAGTGGGCAGGTAAATGGAGCTGAGTCTCAAAGATCAGCCATGATCTTATTAAATGGCAGGGCAGGCTTGAGGGGCCAGATGGCCTACTCCTGCTCCTAGTTCTTATGAATGGTCCCTATGGAAGGTGGACAAGGGAGGGAAGGGGAATGTGTGTCTGGTGGTGGCATCTCACTGGAGGTGGCGGAAATGTTGTCTGATGATCTTCTAGATGTGGATGCTGGTAGGATGGTAGGTAAGAACTAGGAGAACCCTATTGTTGCAGGAGGGAAGAGATGGGGTGACGGCAGAAGTGCGGGAGATGGGTCAGACCTGGTTTAGGGCCCTGTTGACAAAGGTGCTGGGGAAGCTACCATCAGCTCTGAGGAACGGTCACCGAACCCAAGCCATGAACTGAATTTTTCTTCACTGATGCTGCCAGACCTGCTGCACTTTTCCAGCAACTTCTGTTTTTGTTCAGTACTACAACAGGTTCCATAGAGCAGGTACAATAACAAACAGCATACATTTCCCTCCGACACTGCAGGCATGACTACACCCTTCATTCATTTGAAGTGACAATCAGCTTACACAATGTTCTCTGGATTAGATGGAACACCAACACACCACCTTTCACTAAAGCCATACAGCACCTCTAATACCAATTAAAACATACCTAACTTAACTCCTCCTTCACTCAGCTACAAAAACTATTTATTGAGCTCTCTCATGTACCAGGCACATATTCAACTAGGGAACCAAAGGAAACTTTTCCAATCTTAACTCCTTCAAGAAGGCCTTGGAGCTTTAAGACGGCACAATTTTTTATGCACTGTAACCACAAACAAAAAACTTCTAACTTTTTCTCTCTCAATTCCAAGGTGCAATTCTCATTCTTGGCATCTACCTTTCTCTTAATATATATATACTACAGAAATTGACAAAGAAAGAAGCTGACAAAGAGGTTGACAAAGATCATCAAGATGCCCAGGAGTTGCAACTGGATGATACAGCTGTGACTCAGTACAGCAGCACGTCAAACCTCCAGCTGGTACCTTGTAATGGTGAATGCACAATAGTCTGACACTGTAAATCATGAGCAGCTGATAGTCAGTGGAATGGAATAAAACAAAACTTTAAAGTTTTACTGCCTAGCTGCAAATCTGTGTTTGATGCGATTCAGATGCATGTCAGGAATCCTCAACTGATCCCATGTCTCTCTGTGTATACATCAAGTATTAACCTGGAAAACTGATCTGCTTTGCCTTTTTGTCATATGACAAATGCCATAGAGACTCAGTGAACAGACTATGGAAAGGATAAAAGGTGCAAGAACTCTGGTACAGCGTTTTAAATGCACCCAAAATACAGCTTCTACCTGAATTTCCTCCACCATATACATGTTGGAAATGAGATCAGCAATTGCAGCACAGATCAACAAAAGCTGGAATGTTCATTCAGCCACTGTATGATCAGCATTTTGGGGTCTGACTCAGCAAGGTAGGTAGAATAACTTTGCTATTATTTATGTAATCCTGATCATCTAATTATTAATTCCTTACTTCGACAGTGTGAAGGAAAAACAAAGATCAGATTAGGAACATTTATTTCAAGGTATGAATTTATTTTTTTATCATTTCTCCTTTATTGGCTGCTCCAACATCACGAATGACACCTCCTGGCTTCTGATCAAAATGGCTGGTATGTTGTAGAATCCGAAGGTAATGAGGCTCGGCACTGAATATTAGCTATTCAGTTGGGTTAGGTCTATAATTTTTTTCAATACGGTCAAAATATTTTAGTAGAAATGTAAGGCTAAATCTTTTTAGTGAGTGTCTTGTAAAGTCAGAAAATTCTCCCACGCTGTTTCTCTACTGATCATGATATGCCTGTGATATGGGTAGCACACACCCCACAGAGGGGAATACTGTGCATTACTGAATCAGTGTGGTGGGGTGAACAGTAGACTTGGTTGTGCAACCCAAGGTGACCGGAATGGGTGCTTAGTTTGTTGGAACCATTCATTTCCTAATAATGGAATCAGCACTGGACCAAACAAACCCATAGGGCCTGACTTGAGCATTTGATTTTCCCGTGAGTATCAAGTCATTGGTGGTGTAAAAAGACAATGAGAAAGGAACAAGTTCAGGCTTGCAGCACTGAGGACTGTTGAGGAAAATTACCGGGCAGTTCTGGAACAAACTATAATAAGATAGCTGAAAGCTGTGCAATGTCTGCTAGAATGTTTTGCCACCATCATTAAATCTGTGGCTAACTGTACATCTTTAAATTGTTGAAAGCAAAATTTCAGCATTCAAATTAGCTGAAGCACGCTGGAACTTGCTGTATGGCACTGTGCTGGGTATTTGCAGAAGGCTGCTGCAACATGGGAGAGGAATTCCAACTGATGCTAATCTTCAACCTCCATAAACTTACTCTATTTAACAAAGATGTTAGCACAATTTGAAGAGTTTCAGATGCTAGAAGTTTAAAACAAAATCACACTACATGGGTCAAAGCTAATGTGTGGATTACAACTTATTTTGCAGCATTTCATAAAGAATGGGAGATAGGATAGAAAAGGAAACCATATACAGCAAGTGCTTCACCTGTGGTGTTGCTAAGTGCTATATTGCAAACAAAGCAATAGTTATGCAATTCCTTAATATTTTCAAATTGAAATGAATCAAAATTCTACAACAGGTGCTCCCAGAAGAGAGATCCTGGTGTGAGACTTGCGGATAATCTTCACGTGGAGTGCAGTCACAAGCTTGCTGAAGGTCCAGACTGTTCAAAGATGCATCAAATAAAATATGAATTATCCTAGCAAACAATTTAAAGATGCATGTTTTTGTTTTCAATTGTAATATTTTCAATTAAAATAGACAAGTGACCCAAATCCACCAGCAGCTATGAAGTTTGGAAGGGTTAAGCAAGACAACAACATGCCCATTCAGAGCCCTCAAAAGACTGAAGGTCACTCAAGAAGTTGAAGCAACAGCGTGAAAGCCACCTAAAGGGAAAAAGCAGATTGGTGATTAGTTTTAGTGTGACTGAACTTCTTTATCATACACCACTTGGTCATGGGCACAAATAGATCCTTGCATTCGGATCCAATCCGTAAAATGGTCAGATTCAAATACATGTACACTTATCATTATTAGCCATAGTTACAATCCCCTCCCCCTCCCTACAAATTAGAAAAGGCACTTTCATCTGTAGTGTTAACGCATACAGATCTAAAGCTCGTAGGTTTGGCTGTAGTCACTGTAGACCAAGTTATTTTCAGCTCGGTGTGTCAGTCATGATTCAGTGGTAACACTCATCTGATTGGAAGTTTTTGGACTCAAGATCCACTGGCACTCCAATTGGACTGAGGGATAACATAGAAAATGAAATCAGATGCAGCAAGCACTTCATCTTTAGTGTTGCAAAATCTCACTTTGAAGACGGAAAGGGAATTCTCCACAGCACCTTAGTCAACATTTACCCCTCAACCAATGTCACTAAATCAGATCATGTGCTCATTATCTCAGTTTATTGTGGGACCTGGAGTGTACAAATCAGTTACATTACTATAGTGACAACATTGCACTACGTACATTCTGAAGTCTATAAATGTAAGCATTTTTCTTTTCAGTTAGGCCAATCATAAGGGCGTGAGATTCAACTAGCCCCAGACCCAAGAAATAACCCAGAAAAGGTAAAGTTAAACAGTGGTTATAATTCTCTGCCACAATTGTTACTGAAGTCAATAAATTCCTTTACAAGGAAATATTTGCTTAAAGTAGAACAGCAAAGATTCAGAAATGAGCAGCAACATGGATATACAGGAGGGAGCTTCTGAAGTAGAACTAACTGGTTCAAAAGGCTCAACAGCTGGTTTTTGTATGAAAAACTTTCCATGAACAGAGGCCAATTACATGATGGCGTTATAGGAAATGCACTATACTTTTACTTAAGTTTAGCCAATTCAGCCTTTGAATACTGGCTCAGAAAGAACCTCTGAATTTCCTCTGGATAATGCTGGGCGGCATGGGTGAGCAGAGGGTGGCACGGTGGCTCAGTGGTTAGCATTTCTGTCTCACAGTGCCAGGAATATGGGTTTGATTCCATTCTCGGGCAACTATATGGAATTTGCACATTCTCGTGTCTGCATAGTTTTCTCTGGGTGCTCCGGTTTCCTCCCACAGTTCAAAGATGTGCAGGTTAGGTGGATTAACCATGGGAAATGCACAGTTACAAGGATAGGGTAGGGGGGAGGGAATGGGTGGAATGCTCTGGGGGTCAGTGTGGACCCAATGAGTCGAATGGCGTGCCTCCACACTGTGGGGATTCCGCAAATGTTGCTAGATTCTCAGTAATGGAGAGGGTCGAGCTGGAAATCTTGTCTTTGAATGTCTGTTTTGTATTAGCATTTACCTCAGACTGAGCCAAATCTACTCGGAGGAATGCGGGTTTTTGTTCTGCAGCATATCATCCCTGTAATAAACAGAACACAAACTGGATTTACAGTGCTTCAACAAAATCCTAAATTACAGAAGCATATCTAGTATCTTCTTGTGCTTCAAACTTCAATTCTTCATTTGAGACACCAAACATTTAATTATTACCTTTCTGTTTCATAAGAGATCATTTTTCACAGGTATTAGACAGAAGGAAAATGAAAACAAAACATTTCATTCTGCCAGAAATTCTGACGGTTGGAAAAAACAGATTTCACTGTTGAAGACTCCATGAGCTGACCACAGTCAACTAACTTAGGAAGATGACTCCAGCAAAACATAGGAGATGACAGGTTTGGATTTACCCTCTGAAAGGAAACTTCAGGGGTATGAAAATACCTTTACATCTAATGAAGTCAAATATTTTGTTTATAAATATGATTTCACAAGTAGTATTCAATAGGATGGAATGACACTTTTAGGGAGAGCCACACGCAAGGAATGGGCATGATATGGTAGATGTGGGTAGTATGCTTCCACTACCTGGTGAATATAAAACCAGGAAATTGTCTTAAAATAAGAGGCAGGCTATTTAAGATGGTGAAGGAATTTCTTCACTTAGAATGGAGAACCTTTGGGATTTTAAATCCCAGAGGGCTGTGGAATCTCAATAATTGAACATATTCAAAACAGAAATTGTTACGATTTCTGGATAATAATTACATCAAGGGACAAAATAACTGCAGATGCTGGAATCCAAGGTAGGCAAACAGGAGCCTGGAAGAACACAGCAGGCCAGGCAGCATCTGGAGGAAAGGAACAATCAACGTTTTGGGTATTACCCTTCTTCTACATCAAAGGATTTGGGGATAAGTAGGGAAAAATGCTAGAGGTAAATAATCAGCCAAAATCTGCCTAAATGGCAGAGCACCGAGGTATAGAGCTGGATGAACACAGCAGGCCAAGCAGCATCAGAGGAGGGTCAGAAAAGAAGGGTCTAGGCCCGAAACGTCAGCCTTCCTGCTCCTCTGATGCTGCTTGGCCTGCTGTGTTCATCCAGCTCTACACCTTGGTATCTCAGATTCTCCAGCATCTGCAGTTCCTACTATCTCTAAATGGCAGAGCAGTTTTGATGGACCAAAAGGACATCTGCTCCTATTTCCATGGAAAATTACCAGTGAGTAGTTATGACGTGCAAAGTACCAGGTTACAGAACTTTAACGACAGCAAACAGGGAAAAATCAAATTACAACATGACCAAAACTTTAACATGATAAGGGAGCAAAATGCAAGCGAATGTGAGTTGTAGTCCTTTACCTATGCAGAATTTCAAACCGTGGAGCAGGTGCGGCCTGCCTGACTCGAACAAATTCTGACCGCTCCTTGTTATGATCTAATGTCTCCTGGACAGCTTGCTCTGATAAGACATTAAAAAAAAACTGTATTCAGTCTCCCAAATAATCACATATTCTGATATATGATGCACCAAAGTAAATTGCTAACGAGTTCAATTCAAGAGTTCCATGTATTTTTAAGTCATTCATTATCAGTACATTACACCATGTTGGAAGGTCTAATTAGTGGTATTTACTCTGACTCACCAATCTGTTCCATTATATCTTGTGTTGCAGTAGCTGCAGGTGGACACTCTAGAATTTCTTTCCCCTACAAAAACGAAAAGATTGTGTTTGCAATGTGAAATTGCTATTTGATTGACTATGCAGGTCCATCTTCTTTTACATAAAGCAGATTCTTGCGCCCTTTCTCCTTCATCCCAATTATTTGGCCAACAGAAATGAAGTACAAAGACCTAGTTCAAGTTGGCCTTGAATATCCCTGTACGCACAAACTTGCAATGGTCTGAGTGAGCTTTCTGGTACAAGTCAATGATCAGTTACTTAGCTGTCAGGCAAGATTCCATTTCAATCAAGTTAGTAGTGTTATCCCTCAAATATATCTTGTCAAAAGCTTAATCACATTCCAATATATACAAATACTTCAGCCTGAAGTTAACTCAAAGTATAATTCTTTATTTCTTTTTAATAATGCATACTGCTATTATGGGCATGGACTTTGTCCAGTTCTTACAATATTTTGTGAATATCTTGTAATTATCACGTGTTTTCCTTACTTGAAATCTCTTACTTCAAATGCATCCAAAGGAGCTGTAAACAACCTCCCTCAATTTGACTTTGTTTCTTACCTTTATTTATTGTACCACCCTGAAACTTGAAGCTGTTGCCATTTTTTGTCACGTATTCTCACTTTTTACAAAACACCATGTTGCTGATCCTGTGTACCTAGTATTTTCTACTCAACTAGTTAACTCATCATCTTCCTGAATTCAGCCTTATTTCAACTTTTTGCAAAAACAGTCACCAAGGTTTTTTTCTCTTTTTACACAACTGTAAACCACATCATATTTGTGATTCCTACTAGTTAAATGCATTGAGCACTTCAGCAATCTACCAATCTATTTTGTTACTGATGATGAAATCTAAGCAGTTGAATCAGGAGGCGGCAATTTGGTCCAGCTCTTTGAAGGAGGTGTCCAGTAAATCTCTCCTTGCTCTCCCCTCACAATGTTGCAAAATTTTTAGCCTCATGAATTTATTCAATTCCCTGTTAAAAGGATACTGTTATATTCATAGAACATAGAACATAGAACATTACAGCGCAGTACAGGCCCTTCGGCCCTCGATGTTGCTCCGACCTGTGAAACCAATCTGAAGCCCATCTAACCTAAACTATTCCATTATCATCCATATGTTTATCCAATGACCATTTAAATGCCCTTAAAGTGGGCAAGTCTACTATTTTTGCAGGCAGGGCATTCCACGCCCTTACTACTCTCTGAGTAAAGAACCTACCTCTGACGTCTGTCCTATATCTATCACCCCTCAATTTAAAGCTATGTCCCCTCATGCTAGCCATCACCATCCGAGGAAAAAGGCTCCCACTGTCCACGCTATCTAATCCTCCGATCATCTTGTATGTCTCTATTAAGTCACCTCTTAACCTTCTTCTCTTTAACGAAAACAGCCTCAAGTCCCTCAGCCTTTCCTCATAAGACCGTCCCTCCATACTAGGCAACATCCTGGTAAATCTCCTCTGCACCCTTTCCAATGCTTCCACATCCTTCCTATAATGCAGTGACCAGAACTGTACGCAATACTCCAAGTGCGGCCGCACCAGAGTTTTGTACAGCTGCAACGTGACCTCATGGCTCCGAAACTCAATCCCTCTACCAATAAAACCTAACATACTGTACGCCTTCTTAACAACGCTATCAACCTGGGTGGCAACTTTCAGTGATCTATGCACATGGACACTGAGATCTTTCTGCTCATCCACACTACCAAGAATCTTACCATTAGCCCAGTACTCTGTATTCCTGTTACTCCTTTCAAAGTGAATCACCTCACACTTTTCCGCATCAAACTCCATTTGCCACCTCTCAGCCCAGCTCTGTAGCTTATCTATGTCCCTCTGTAACCTGCAACATCCTTCCGCACTATCCACAACTCCACCAACTTTGGTGTCATCCGCAAATTTACTAACCCATCCTTCTACGCCCTCATCCAGGTCATTTATAAAAATGACAAACAGCAGTGGCCCCAAAACAGATCCTTGAGGTACACCACTAGTAACTGAACTCCAGGATGAACATTTCCCATCAACCACCACCCTCTGTCTTCTTACAGCTAGCCAATTTCTGATCCAAACCGCTAAATCACCCTCAATCCCATGCCTCCGTATTTTCTGCAATAGCCTACCATGGGGAACCTTATCAAACGCTTTACTGAAATCCAAATACACCACATCAACCGCTTTACCCTCATCCACCTGTTTGGTCACCTTCTCGAAGAACTCAATAAGGTTTGTGAGGCACGACCTACCCTTCACAAAACCGTGTTGACTATCCCTAATCAACTTATTCCTTTCTAGATGATTATAAATCCTATCTCTTATAATCCTTTCCAACACTTTACCCACAACCGAAGTAAGGCTCACTGGTCTATAATTACCAGGGTTGTCTCTACTCCCCTTCTTGAACAAGGGGACAACATTTGCTAGTCTCCAGTCATCTGGCACTATTCCTGAAGACAATGACGACATAAAGATCAAAGCCAAAGGCTCTGCAATCTCCTCTCTAGCTTCCCAGAGAATCCTAGGATAAATCCCATCCGGCCCAGGGGACTTATCTATTTTCACACCTTCCAGAATTGCTAACACCTCCTCCTTATGAACCTCAATCCCGTCTAGTCTAATTGACTGTATCTCAGTATTCTCCTCGACTACATTGTCTTTTTCCTGTGTGAATACTGACGAAAAATATTCATTTAGCACCTCTCCTATCTCTTCGGACTCCACGCACAACTTCCCACTACTGTCCTTGACCGGCCCCAATCTTACTCTAGTCATTCTTTTATTCCTGACATACCTATAGAAAGCTTTAGGGTTTTCCTTGATCCTACCTGCTAAAGACTTCTCATGTCCCCTCCTGGCTCTTCTTAGCTCTCTCTTTAGGTCCTTCCTGGCTAACTTGTAACTCTCAAGCGCCCTAACTGAGCCTTCACGCCTCATCTCTACATAAGCCTCCTTCTTCCTCTTGACAAGAGATTCAACTTCTTTAGTAAACCACGGTTCCCTCGCTCGACCACTTCCTCCCTGCCTGACAGGTACACACTTCTCAAGGACACACAGTAGCTGTTCCTTGAACAAGCTCCACATTTCAATTGTGCCCAGCCCCTGCAGTTTCCTTCTCCATCCTATGCATCCTAAATCTTGCCTCATCGCCTCATAATTGCTTTTCCCCCAGCTATAACTCTTGCCCTGCGTTATATACCGATCCCTTTCCATCGCTAAAGTAAACGTAACCGAATTGTGGTCACTATCACCAAAGTGCTCACCTACCTCCAAATCTAACACCTGGCCTGGTTCATTACCCAGTACCAAATCCAATGTGGCCTCGCCTCTTGTTGGCCTATCTACATACTGTGTCAGGAAACCCTCCTGCACACATTGGACAAAAACTGACCCATCTGAAGTACTCGAACTATAGCATTTCCAGTCACTATTTGGAAAGTTAAAGTCCCCCATAACAACTACCCTGTTACTTTCACTCCTATCCAGAATCATCTTTGCAATCTTTTCCTCTACATCTCTGGAACTTTTTGGAGGCCTATAGAAAACTCCCATCAGGGTGACCTCTCCTTTCCTCAGCCCATACTACCTCAGTAGACGAGTTGTCATCAAATGTCCTTTCTGCCACCGTAATACTGTCCTTGACTAACAATGCCACACCTCCCCCTCTTTTACCACCTTCCCTGATCTTACTGAAACATCTAAACCCCGGAACCTGCAACAACCATTCCTGTCCCTGCTCTATCCATGTCTCCGAAATGGCCACAACATCGAAGTCCCAGGTACCAACCCATGCTGCAAGTTCACCCACCTTATTCCGGATGCTCCTGGCATTGAAGTAGACACACTTCAAACCACCTTCCTGCCTGCCGGTACACTCCTGCGACCTTGAAACCTTATTTATGACCTCACTACTCTCAACCTCCTGTACACTGGAGCTACAATTCAGGTTCCCACCCCCCTGTTGAATTAGTTTAAACCCTCCCGAAGAGCATTAGCAAATTCCCCCCCCAGGATATTGGTACCCCTCTGGTTCAGGTGTAGACCATCCCGTTTGTAGAGGTCCCACCTACCCCAGAATGAGCCCCAATTATCCAGGTATCTGAATCCCTCCCTCCTGCACCATCCCTGTAGCCACGTGTTCAACTGCTCTCTCTCCCTATTCCTCGCTTCGCTAGCACGTGGCACGGGTAACAAACCAGAGATAACAACTCTGTTTGTTCTAGCTCTAAGCTTCCACCCTAGCTCCTTGAATTTCTGCCTTACGTCCCCATCCCTTTTCCTACCTATGTCGTTGGACCACGACTTGGGGCTGCTCCCCCTCCCCCTTAAGGATCCCGAAAACACAATCCGAGACATCACGGACCCTGGCACCTGGGAGGCAACACACCAACCGCGAGTCTCTCTTGTTCCCACAGAATCTCCTATCTGTCCCCCTAACTATGGAGTCCCCAATGACTAATGCTCTCCTCCTCTCCCCCCTTCCCTTCTGAGCAACAGGGACAGACTCTGTGCCAGAGACCTGTACCCCATGGCTTACCCCTGGTAAGTCGTCCTCCCCAACAGTATCCAAAACGGTATACTTTCTTCACTTCCAACAGTCTTATGTTCTACAGAATAACTGCATGCTCAGTAGGAAAATAATCATGAAGGCACCTCATTTTGTCAAACGCTTTTATTCAGTGTTGTGTTTGGACATTAGAAACAGTTTCTCCCTGTTTTATCTACCAAAACCATTAATGATTTTTGACACCACTATCAAATTTTCTCTTAACCATCTTGCGCCATGGACAGCAACATTAGTTTCTCTAGCCTCATTAGGCAAATCCCTCATTCCTGGTGCCATTCTAGTAAATCTTCTGCACCCTCTCCAAGACCTTGACGTTCTTTCTGAGGTGCAGTGCTCAGAATTAGGCAAAGTCTATAGCAGGGACCTAGAAGTGTTTCATGAAAGTTTAACATATCTTGCTTATCTTTATCTAAGTCTGCAGGGGTGGGGGTGAAGGGGGGGGGGGGGGGGAGCAGTGCAATGGCCCAGTGGTTTTATCACTGGACTGTCAATCCAGAGACCCAGGTAATGTTTGGGAACCCCAGGTGATGGTGGATTTTCAATTCCATAAAAATCTGGAATTGAAGAATCTAAAGACAATCACAAATCCATTGCTGATTGTCAGGGAAAACACATCTGGTTCACTAGTATCCTTTTAGGGAAGGAAGCTACCATCCATACCTGATCTGGCAATGTGGTTGACGCTTAACTGCCCTCTAGGCAATTAGGGATGAGCAATAAATGTTGGCCTAACTGGTGACACCCTCATCTTATGAATAATAAAAAAAGTCACTAATTAATAATCGAGGATCTTTTTTTAAAAAAAAACAGCTTCTCAACTTCCCTGCCCACTTTCAAAGATCTATGTACGGTACATTCATCCAGAGATCTCTCCATTCCTGCATCTATTTAAAATTGTACCATTTAGCTTATACTGCCTCTCCTCACTCTTCCTACCATAATACATCACTTTGCACCCCTGTATTAAATCTCATCCATCACGCGTGATCATTCATTCCAGCAGCCTGTCCTTGTTCTTCTCAAGTCGATTATTATCTTCATGTCGATTTTCATATCAAGACTGTCATCAGAACCATGACAAATTTCACTCTTACTTTTCTCAGCAACATACAAGGCATCCCATTTATACAAGGTGATTTTTCTGCTTTGATCACCATCAATCTTTTAAGTGCCACCTTTATATCTATTCTATATTACCTAATATTTCTACTATCTCCTTCTTCACTAACATCAACTACACCCTTTTATCAAGAGGAGAGAGATACAATGTACTAATTTAGACTCCCTGTCTCTGTCTCTACAAGATTTTCTTTTTGGCCCCAAATTACATTTTTACCTTTTTACTAGTTATTATGGTTTTAATGACAACATTTACTATTATACTGTGATCCTATTCTTATATTCTCTTCACCCTTTTCATGTAACTTTGAGCCTCTTCTGTACGTTTTGCATTTGGATTCTTTCTTTATTGTGAAGATAACATTTGTCTTAACATATCCCTGTTTCATTTTAATTTTTATATCCCAGTGATTTTATTAGATTGACATTTAACACGAAATAGTCCAGGAAAAATTTCATTAACAGGACAGGTTATATGACAAGTTCTCAATTGCAAGAACAACTGAAGATGCAAAATTCTTGTCAAATGCATAAGAATGCAAACATTCCTGAATTGCAGTCTGTCAAAAGAACTGCAAGTCTTGCTATTTTCTGCCAGGTCACAGATTTCTTGCTCCACTATTCATAAAATATGAGCAAGTCAATGAGAAAGGTAAGAATGTATGGGTCCAAGCTGGAATAGTGGATCCAGTAGGCAGTTTGCTGTGGACACTTGTCATTAATCCAGATTGCTACAGATCCTCATTTATTTCACAGGCATATGAAGAATCCCATAAAAATGTCTATACCAATTAATTTCCTGCAGCTCTTAAATCTCAATCTCAAAATTAAAATAAAATTGAAAAATCTAGCAAGGTCCTGTGATGGAAAAAGTTCTTACTTCTCCTCCACCATGTCTCCGAGGATCTATCTGCTCTGAAGATTTGATCTTGTCCTGGGTAAAGAACAAAAATCAAAATTTAACAACGGGCAGTAAGTCTGCCAATTTTTGTTTCTTTTTTAAGTTCATAAAAGTGTAAAGATGATTTTTCTATAAATTAAAAATAATTCTTCATATATAACTAAATCTGTATTTTCACCAGTGCCATTGTTGAAGAGAGGGCTTGTTGAGTATTGGGGAAAAAAATGCTTACTGATGAGAATTCAACAAGTATACCCTAGAAACTGAATTAGCCTGTATTCGTAATGGAGATAAAAAGCTGATATGGTGCTATAGGATTTTTTTGTGGGAAGGAAATAAACGGGTAAAAAAAAAGTTTTGGCAAAGATCAGTAGCTCAGGTTGTGGATGAGGTTGTTGACTTGCTCGCTGAACTGGCTTGATTTTGTTCAGACATTTCGTCACCACGCTATGTGACATCATCAGTGAAGCCTCCGAAGCAAGTTTTGATCTGTATGGGTTTGTATATGTAAAACTGGAAATGACAGTACTCACCATAACAGACTGGACAGTATAAATTCCAAGCGGAAAAGAATAACATCGTTTCATCGGAAACTCCACTGATGATGTCACCTAGCATGGTGACAAAACATCTGAACAAAAACAAGCCAGCTCAGCGAGCAAGTCAACAACCTCAGGGTAAAAAAAAATTTAATTGATAAACCGTGAGCAATGACCTTATACAGGTTAGGTAGAGAGATCATGTGGTTAATCAAAGGTCAAATATCTGCAGTATTTAGGATAGTTACAAGCTTCCTCCTTCTTCTGTTTTTATAAAGATGATCTGTCACACTCTTCAGTAAAATGTCCAAACCTGCCCAATATAGGATATTTAATCCATACAAATTTTAATCAGTATTATCAAGAAGGAGCTCCCACCAAAAACTGCCCATGATTTGTGACCAAAATGCAAAGGAAGCTGCACTGTAAAGAAAACAAGACTAAAATTCCATTGAGTCCCAAAGTCAAGCTCAGGCATTCTGGTGGCCAAAACTCTTGCAGTGACTGAACTGAATTCCTCAATCCTGAGTGGATCCAATGAACAGAGGCAAGACAAGAAACACATCTCTATTGTGCTCTACAAATCTTAAAACTGGGCATTAGCTTCTAACAGAAACAGAAACAGAAACGTCAGATTTAACCACAGATCAGCTGATAAATGCATAGTATGCATCCATCTAAAGTAATGGACAACAACAGTGTGGAATTGAGAATTTCCAAGGATAATGGAAGCTCAAAGATATAACAATTATAAAATGGAGCAAACAAAACCAATAAATGATCAAAACCATTTCTCATGCAGGAAATCAATTGCTGCTAGAGAGCATAGATAGAAAGGAAGCACTTATCTATACGCAGTACCCTGCAGAGATTCAGAATGCCCTAAAGTACATTTTGCAGATAATGCAGTACATTTTCATATAGTCACTTTGCAATGTAGGGAAAAACAGCCTCCAATTTATCCACAGAAACGTCTGACAAACAGCAATGAAATGAATGAACAGATAACCTATTAAATTGTGATGGTTGAGATATAAATATTGCTGAGGCCACTGGGAGGGCTTTGTGAGATTTTTCACATCTGCATGAGAGCAGATGGGATGTTGATTTAATTAATCATCTCAAAAGATGACACCTCTGACAATGCAGCAATATCTTAGAACTGCATTGAAGCATGAGTCTGGATTCATACTTCAACTCTCAACCTCCTGGATCAGAAGTCGAGAGCCGTTCTTGAGCTGTGGCCAAAGGAATTAAAATTGACATGAGCCTCAAATTATGATTATGTTCAGATTCAATAAAGTAAGACCAGCTAAGGCCTGCAATGATTTCCCTCCTATCTCACTCTCCAAAAAGGGATTGATAGTAATTTTCAGTTGTACAGATTTAAATGTAGCTTTTCCCTTATTTGCTCATTGCGTTATTTCAATGTGATACTGCATCACAATTGCTTTAAGACTGCAAAGAAGCCTCAAAATATTGAGCTTTAATACTACATTACTACATGAAAGCAGAAATGAACAGAACAAACATATTTCTGAGTCAGACATCTCAATGATCACAGACTTCAGGGATTAAGTTACGAAGCAAAATTAGACAAATTAGGCCTTTATTCTCTAATCTTTAGAAGGCCAAGGGTGATCTAATCAAGGTCTTCAGGTTTTAACAGGGAAAGACAGGTTAGATAAACTTATTTCCACTGTTTGAAGATTCCAGAACCAGTGGCGGGGGAGGCAGTCTAAGAATTAAGGCCAGGTCATTCAGGAGAGGTGTTAGAAAGTGCTACTACACGCAAAGAGTAGAGGAAGTCTGGAACACTTTTCCTCAAATGGCAGTCATTGCTAATTCAATTGTTAAATTAAATCTGAGACAGACAATCTTTTATTAAGCAAGGGTATCAAGGGGTATGGACCCAAGGCAGAAACATGGAATTAGGCCACACATCAACTATGATTTTATTGAATGGCGGAGTAGGCTTGATTGGCTGAATGGCCTATTCCTGTGAAGATGCCCTTTCCACTGGTGACCGATAGTTGTTTAAAGGTATCTAGAATGGAATGCAACTACATTGCCTTGAGTATGGTTTAAGCCAATTATTACCTAGGTTATAGAACTTGTATATTTTACAATAAATGGGATTAATTCTCCCTCTTACATAGAGAAACAAAAGTCAGAACCTTTTTTGGGCCCGACTCCACACCTGATGGTGAAACAGCAACCCACCAGAATTTCTACCAGGATGTCTCCTTAAATTATGCAGAAACAAGTTCTCTGCCTGACTAGGGATAGCGGGAAAGTTCTTGAACATGAAGGAAAGTTAGAGATGTTCCACGTGAGAGAAGCAGCAAGCTACAATGGAGATAACCAACAAGTTCAACATGGAGGTGGGAGGAAATTCCATGACAAGGTAGACTCGACTGCTTCTGCACTCAGAAAGGTTGGGAGGGCTTCCAGGCTTGCTGGAATTGCTGGCCTTCCCTAGGTATTCATATCAAAACTAAAAACATTTGTACACAGCAAATGTCTAAGATCTGAAATGCATTGCCTGAAAGTGTGGAGGCAGATTCAGTCATGGATTCCAAAAGAAAACTGAAACATGCAGAAAAGAAAGGCAGAAAAGGAAACAAAATTGCATGCATACTGTGAGGAGGGACTGGTGTATGGGACAAACTAAATTGGTTTTGTAGAGACTCAGCATGGACTTAAGGGTCAAATAGACTGCTTCAATATTATAGCCATCTGATTATATAACAAGGGATGGTAACTAATGATAATGTCACTGGATTGGTTCCTCAAGAGGTCTACAGTTCAAATCCCAGCTGAAAACATTGACCACAACATGACAAAATTTAGCATTCAGTTTGAGAAGGAGGGACTTAGGTTGGAAACAACTGTGCCAAGCTGAACTAAGGTTAATTACAGTTGAATATATACTTTGCATCAATTTTCACAGTGAAAGACATGAATAGCATTCCAAAATTACTAAATATTCAAAGGGAAAAAAAGGAGAAGAAATAAATACAATAACAATCACAAGAAAAAAAAATGCAAGGAACATATATGGGGTTAAAGACCAATTAGTTTACTGGACCTGATAAAATGCAACCTAGGATATGAAAGAAAGTAGCTACAGAGATAATGGATGCACAATGGTAGTCTCTCAAGAATCTTTAGATTCTGGAAAAGTGTCGGAGGATTGAAAAGCTGCCAATGTAACACCTTTTATTTAAGAAGGGAAGAAGTCAGAAAAGGGTAACTCAGGTCACTGAGCTAAATATCTGTTATTGAGAAAATGTTAGAGTTTATTATAAAATGATGTAATAGCAGAATATTAGAAATGGTTAGTATGATCAAGCACAGTCAGCATTTCATGAAGAAATCATGCTTGTCAAGTTTACTAGAATTCTTTAAGGAGGTAACATGTAGGTTAGATGAAAGGCAAGGATTGAATTTAAATATTTGGATTTTCAAAAGGTGTTCGATAGGGTACCACACATTGACCTACTCAATAAGATTGGGAGCCCACAGTGCCAGTGGTAGTATATTGGCATGGATAGAGGGTTGGCTAACTGCTAGAAGATAAAGTTGAGATCAGAGGGCCATTTTCAGAATGACAACCTGTGCTGGGGCCATAATTATTTGTAATATTTATTAATGACTTGGTTGAGGAAACTAAATGTACTATAGCTAAGTTTGCTGTTGACACAAAAATACGTGGGAAGGCAAGTGGTGAGGATGACAAAGAGACTGTAGACGGTGCAGCATAAACTTAGCAGATGGGATATAACGTCAGGAAATATGAGGTTTAGCACATTGACATGAAGAATAAAGGAGCTGATTTTTTTTTTAAATAGAGGAAGACTGCAGAAAGCTGTGAATGGTTTTGGACTCTTTATCTGGAGATATGCTGGCATTGGAGGAAGTCCAGAGAAGGTTCACTAGGCTGATACCAGGTATGGAGGGACTGTCTTATCAGGAAAGTTTGAGCAGTTTGAGCCTGCACTGTTGGAATTTAGAAGAACAAGAGGCAAACTTATTGTAAGATTTTTAGGGGACTTGACAGGGTAGGTGTGGAAAGGCTGTTTTCCCCTTGGTGAGAGAATCTACGATCAGAGGGAATAATCTAAGAATAAAGGTTCGCACATTTAAGATGGTGAGGAGGAGCAAATTCTTCTGAGTCTGGGGAATTCCTTCCTGCAGAGAGCTGTTGATGCTGGATCAGTAAGTACATTTGAGGCTGAAAAAGACAGACTTTTAATCAGTAAAGGAATGGAGGGTTATAGAGTAAAGGCACGAAAATGGAATTGAGGATTATCAGATCAGCCACGACTTCATTCACTTGCAGAGCAGACTCAATAGGCTGAATGGCCTACTTTTGCTCCTACATATTTTGGCAACCGGGGAATATGAATTAATTGATAAATCTGGAATGATATGGTCTCAGGAATGATGATCATGAAAACCTCATCTAGTTCTCTTACCTCCTAGGAGTAA